ATTCTCTACTTTTTCCAGGGTACGACACACGATCAGATCAACCTGACTACTCTGTATTTCGCGAGAGACGATTTTTATGAGCATGGCTATGGAATGTCAACATATCCACATAATCCTAAACCCATAAGACTTCCTCCAAGAGTAAACGACACTTCGTGATGTTTCGTTCTATAATCATCCACGCATCTCCGTTTCACTTTCAACTTTTGTTGCCTTTTCTTACGGGTCTGTTTATCATTGATTCCTGTCTAACAGCTCACGAAACATCTGTATTCGAATGCTGCCGTAATCAGCCTTATTTTAACCAACAAATACTTCAGTGAATTTTTTTTGTCTCGCATGAATTGTCCGTTAGTTCCCGAGAACTGGGGTAAGTAATTAAAAAGGAAGCTTTGTTTCATTCAATGAGTAGTGTTGTTTTTTAGACTTGAATCTTTCGGACTGATTTTTCCGTCGACATATCATATAAATAAATAATAAAGGATAAAGCATTTGCCGTTGATCAATCCCTTTTTGGGATGCGGCACGCATTCTACTTCCATTTGTACATTCGTAGTGGCGTTTGAATGCGATGTGGCCTATACAATGACTTGCGGGGGCCAGCCGATGTACAAGTCAGTGTTTTTATCCTCCCAGACAAGTCTGGTACCAATTAACCGACCCCGGAGGGATGGAAGGCTTGGTTGGCCCGGGCGACTCACGACCCAGGATTTGATCCCCGGACCGCTCGCGTGGTAAGCGTGCCACTTGCCACTACACCACTTCCGCCCCTGACATACACAAAACAGATGAGTTGTGAAAGAATTCACGGTCGCAGTGCTATCGCAGCTAGGCTATTGTCGAGTCGTAGAGAAGCACCTCCACTAATTACTGCAGGAGCCGCTGAGATTGGCTGTCGACACCTGCGATCAGCTAGGGGAGTTGGTGCCAAGTTGGAAGGAAACAAAAGATAAAATATGTTGTGTAAAAATACAGTGTAAACTTATCTACTCATTGACAGGTTTTTCTAAGGATTCACGGCTTATCCTGGAGTGATACCACTCAAAGTTTTCTCTTTTGTGCAATGAGTACTTATACATATTATTGCAATTCTGTTGTGTATACATTTCCTGCACACTTACAATCGATAGCAATCTCCTGCAATGTGGTGGTGGACTCATTGCGTATCCTGAAAATTGAGTTGTGAGCCGCCAATCAGAGTCAACCCTGCGTTGCGCAGTTCGCAACGGCACGTTGAGAGATCCTCAACGCACGCTGTATGGGCGGAGACGCAGACGGCTCGAGCATGCGAGTGTGAATGTTCGCGCGAGAGAACGTGTCTAATCGGGCGAAACTGCGCAACGTGGCCGTTGAGAACTGCGCAACGCAGGGTTGACTCTGAGCTCGACCAATAGGTGATCTGTTGAAGTCCCAGCCATCTGGGCAAGACGGCTAATTGAGAGAACCAGATCGGGCAGGGTTGAAAAGCGATGGAAAAGCTCCATATTCAAAAAAAACGTTCTGTGAACAAATTTTTATATCACTGAATAGCATTTTTCCAAAGGATTTGAATAGTATAAGACTTTAAAAGTCTTGTTTCCATGAAAAATGAGCCTTTTTCAAGAAAGGTTTGGTCCAAAATTGGCAATCGAGAGGACTTCAGATTTTCAGATGAAGAAGATGTCTTCTACAGATTGTGAACTCCATAAAAGTTGTGTATGCAGTGCCTTCAAATAGGACTTAGCCTTTTCCTTACGCACAGTAATTATCATTTCAAAAGTCATGGATGCGCAGGTTTTCTTGAAAACCTTCCTGGATAGCGGTTTTTGGAAGGTAGATTAGAGCTTAGTTTTTGTTCCAAACAATACTTGCGAAGCGCAAAAAAGAGCTGTCTCTGTAGAATAAGCACGTTTTTTATTGAGGTCAGAAAGCATTTCACTTTCGGTACTTAGCATTTTGGAAGGGACCATCCTTCGATAATGACATCCGAGAAACTTCACTTATTTGAGTGGAAATCGGTACCAAAATGGCAAAGACCAATTTTTTTCCATTTTAGATTGAAGTTGCAATTTTATAACTCATTCTATGCGTCGAATCAACAAATGCCTTCCAGTCATAATTATAGCGAGCGTCGCTCGCTGAACAGTATCCGCAGGGGCTTTGATGAAAAGTGGAGTTGAAAAACAAGATTTTTCAGAATTTTAAAACTTATCTTTGTAGAGCTCGGCGAGCCGAGTTGAACTATCTACTTTTTTGGTGAAAAAACAAAAACTAATTGAGTTATGGAGAAAAAACGAAAAAAACGCAAATTGGCGTTTTTATCGTGATTTTTTGAACAATTAGGGTGGGTATTGTACCATGTACATGTACAGTTCCATAATATTTTTGGGTGTGGTTCACTAGGACAGAAAGCGACTTTTTCGCGTTTCGCAGCGCGAAACATTTTTCGCTGCGGGAACCTCAGGTCCACCGATCATCAGCGGACCCGAGGTTCCCGCAGCGAAAAATGTTTCGCGCTGCGAAACGCGAGGAAAGTCGCTTTCTGTCCAAGTGGACCACACCCATGTTTTTGCCGCTTCACTAGGTAGTGAGATTTACTATAGTGTATCTCAGAAGGATAAAGGCTTCGAATG